ACTGTGCATTCTTACCAACTCCATCTCCAGAAGACCAGGATTGCCAGATATAAAGAGCTCACACCAATCAATAAAGATGAGCAGAAAGAGGACAGGGGACAGAAACAACCAACATTTTAAATACACAGACACCTGATCCACCAATTGCACTTCTAGTAATCTATATTCTAACATTCACACGTATGCAGAGATACATACTTTCAAAATGTTCATTGCTGCATTGTTTGTAACATTTAAATATTTTTTTTGGAACAACTTAAATGCCAATCTATTCGGAAACTGGTTAGAGTAAGCTACATTCATAGAATAAAAATAAATACTGCAAACAGCTTCATGTCAACAAATTAGATAACTTAGATGAAATGGACAAATTTCCTAGAAAACCACAAACTATCAAAACTGACTCAGAAAGAAACACAAAATCGAAAAAGACTTATAAGAAATAAGGAGATTGAATTAGTGATGCAAAAATTTACCCACAAAAGAAAAGTCCAGGCCCAGATGGCTTCATTTGTAAATTCTATCTAATATTTTTTGTGTGTTCATTTGTTTCTTTTTTTTTTTTACTGTTTTTTTTTATTGAACTATTATAGCTATACATAATAGTTGGGTTCATTTTGACAAAATCACACATGCATGGAATTTGATTTACTCCATTTCAGTCGTTGGTGTCCATCCCCTTTCCCTCCCTGTCTCCCTCTCCTTCTTCTTCCTCTGTTCTGCTTAACTTTCTTTCACTTATTTATTTATTTATTTATTTATTTATTTATTTATTTATTTATTTTGGTGTACTGGGGATTAAACTTAGGAGCACTCAACCACTGAGCCACATCCCCAGCCCTATTTTGCATTTTATTTAGAGACAGGGTCTCACTGCGTTGCTTAGCACTTCACAAAACTGCTGAAGCTGGCTTTGAACTCTGGATCCTCCCACCTCAGCCTCCCCAGCCACTGGGATTACAGGCATGCACCACCGCACCCGACCTGCTTATTTATTTTTTATTGGTGTTTTATACATATACATAAAGGTAGAATTCACTGTGGTATATTTATACATGCATATAGCATGATTTTGTTAAATCCTCACTGCATTCACCCCGCCCCTTTCCTGTTCTTCCTCCCTTCCCCTCTCTCTCCTTCTTCAATGCCATCTGCCAAATATTTAAAGAAGAATTAACACTAAATCCTCATATTCACTCTTGAGAAAGTAAAAAGACAACCCATAGACTAGGAGAAAATGTTTGCAAACCATATATCTGATAAGAGACTTATAGCTAGAATACATAAAAAAAAACTCCAATAACTCAATAATAAAAACAAACTCCTTTTAAAAATGGGAAAAGGATCCAAATTGATATTTCCCCTTGAGAAGATACACAAATTGATAATAAGCACGTAAAAAGATACTCAATCGACATCATTAGCCATCAGGAAATACACATCCAAACCACAATGATATTCCACTAAGATAACTATTATCAAAAAGCAGAAAATAAGTGCAGACAAGAATGTAAAGAAATTGGAAATTTCATATATTACTGATAGGAATGTAAAATGGCACAGTTGCTGTGAAAAATAATTTTGCACAAGAACACAAATATAAGGGTGTATGTCACCTCAAAAAGCTAAACATAGAGTTGCCATGTGACCCAGAAATTCCACTCCTGTGTATATACCCAAAAGAACTGAAAGCAGGGACTCAAACAAATACCTATAGCTAGAATACATATAAAACTCCAACAACTCAATATTCATACAGAATATTGAGAATTATGTTCATACAGAATGCTCCAGCAGCACTTTTCGTGTGTGCCAAAAGACGGAAACGGCTCAGATGTCCATCAAGTGGTGAGTAGGTTACAAATGTGGTATACCTACACAATGGAATAGTATTCAGCCACAAAAGGAATAAAGTACTGTACATACTACAATAAGGATGAACTTCGAAAATAGTATACTAAGTGAAAGAAGGCAGACATAAAAGATTACATGTTATATGATCCACTTATATAGTAAATCCATATAGACAGAAAGTAGATTAGTGTTTGCTTAGGGCTGAGAGGGTCAGGAGGTTGGATGGAAAGAGCTAAAAGATCCTGGGTTTCTTTCTGAAGTGGTGAAACTGTTCTAAAATTGATTGTGGCGAGGCAATGGTTGCAAAACTCCATGCATATGCCAAAACCACTAAATTGTACACTTTAAATGGGTGACTTTACGGTCTGTGAATTATATCAATAGGGCTGTTCAAGAAAGCTATGCAACCGTTCAAAAACAAAGCAATCAATTTCTATTGCTTAAATAAGCCACTCTCCAAGGAACACTGAGGGAAAGTTGAGGAGAAAGAGAAAATCAGAGCACACTTCATTGAATATGATCCCACTTACATAAATACAACCTTAAAAACAAAATCTAAGGCGTGGCATAGAAAACTATTTGGAAAAAATATAACTCAAACTACCAAAAGTTATTTTTTTCAAGAAGGGAAGATGAGAGCAGTAAGAGAAGTTAAGCTTTGTATTTGGCCTATCTCACAAACACACACACCCACCCATGTGACTTTCATAATTAAACTTTAAATAAATAAATAAGCTTTGTAAGGGAAACAAAAATGTGCAAACGACATGAATAAACAGCTAAAGGAGAAATTATAAAATGACCAATAAGCACAAAGAAATATGCCCAACCTCCCTTGTTATTAAAGAAATTGATAGTAAATAATAAGAACATATTTTGTGTATCAGACTGGACAACTTTGTCTCTAAATAAAATATTAAGATGGGCTTGGGAAAAAA